GGCTTAGGAAATCTGATGTAAAAATTTGCCTCCTACATTTAAGGACCTCCCTAATGTACATATCTGTAAATATATATATACAAATAGAAAGAACGGAATCACAAGAGGTAATGAGAAACAACCGCTGCGCTGGTAAAATAAAAATATATTTTTCCTTTATTCAGGTACATATTACTCTTCAAATAAATGACCACCATTTTTCGTCTCTATGCTTTGAACTCCATTTATTCTCACTCATTGAATTTGGTAACCACTTTTGACGAGTGTTGATTGTAGTTTTTGTTGAGAAATACACAGAGGTTCTTCATATTTTATTATGTTAGTCTCTTTGACACTTGACGTCCACTTCCATATTTAAGCGAGGTGTAGTCGTACGTTCGAGTAGTAAAAGATAAATGCTAACACGCATTTACCCCTTCTTTGGTAATAACATTAATATTTACGTTGAACAAATGTGCATAGATACATACGTACATATGTATTAAAGGGAGAGGTATGAAACCAAGCAGGCACATAATCAGGGCTGGACTACGCCGACTGCGTAGTACCCTCGGGGTAACGTCGCGTGTTCGAATACACGAAGTTGAAGGCGAGAATTAAGCGAAAATTTATCACTGTATCTTGATGAATCTTTTAAAATTCAATACGCTAAATTACACTTTACTTTCGACTTAAACTTCGTGTTTACGAATAAGCGACGCTACCCCGAAGGTACCCGCAGTCGGCGTCGCCCAGACCTGTACATAATTCTTAAATCGATTGTATTGAGAACCCTGACTGGTATCCCTAAATTGTAGCGCTAAGCGTTGCGTTTTTCAATGCCAACGACTGCCAGCGCGCGTTATACCCAAATCAACGCGGAGTAATATTTGACGTTTTCTCAATTCCTCTCGTTTCTCCCGCTTTCTTTCCATTTTCCATTTGCTCGGCGCTAGCGCCGCGTTATTGTGGTATGCTTCATATGAGGATTTTTGATAGTTCCTCGGCGATTGACGCGCCAATTCAGGGATGTCAGTTATCGAAATACTCAAAACCATTCCATTAAAACAGGAGAACCAAACTATGTTTTAATGTGTAAACACTTTAACTCTCGGTATGGGTGAAATTTGCGTTAACATAACAGAAAATTTTTAATTTCATCTTGCGTAACCCAGCAGAAAGTCTGAAATTGCTTCTTGTGCATACAAATGAACATTTCGGGACTAGTTTCTGGGTATTTAGGCCCATTTCGGGACTAGTTTACGATTAGTTTATGCCCATTTCGGGACGAGTTCAGTATCTTTTTGTAAACTGTCAAGGGCTATTTGAATATCATTTCGGGACCTGTTCGGATCCAGTTCACTAGTTTACGACCATTTGTGGACCATTTTGGGACCAGTTCTGCACTGTTAAGACATTCATTTACGACTATTTCACGAATATTTCGGGACTAATTCGGGATCATGCTAGAACAGAATTGAGATCATTTCCGGGCTTCAGGACTATTGGAGAACTGTCTTGGGACTAGTTCGCTACCATGTTGGGTCTAATAAAGGACCATTTCGGAAGTGTTTAAAGACTTGTTCGAGATCATTTGGGGACACTTTCACGACTTTTTCCACTGCTTCAGGGCCTGTTGAGAACTATTTCAGACTTATTTCGGAACTAGTTCGCGATCGGATTTGCCCTAATGCCTCATTTACGCGTATCACTTTGGGTGTTCATCTTGGAGGAATCATCAAAAGTGAATAATTAAAATTGCTGTACACTTTAGTTTCCATCGCCTTTCAGCTTTTGATGAAACAGTCGTTCACTGTACGGATGATTCATCCAGAGTGATGGCAAAGTGTGAAGTTCAAATACCTAGTTTGCTCATCTTTATCTTTCACTAATTGGATTTCAGTCTGAAATTGTCCGAAACGAATTTTTTGTACGTGAAAAAATTTAAACAGTGAGTGATTTACTTTGGATAAAGTGTTAAAATGCCATTATTGAATTTAAATTTATAAACAGGTGGCAACCTTATTCAGAAACCAAACAAAAAAAATCCCATCTTTGCATCCAAATCCGTTCAGCCATCTCTGAGTGAAGTATTTCATTTATAAAATTTAAAACCACCCTGCATCGCTAATAACAGTTCTAACTTCGAAAAGTAATAGATGGTAGCCCTAATGAAAATTTTTTTCAAACTAAAGTTTCTTAAAACTCTTACCTTTGGCACTCATATTTTAAAATTTAATTTAACTTGTGTATACGTAAAATAAATAATACTTTCCTTAATAGGTGGCAACCCTCTTTAAATGTTCAAACTTAAATCTATTTCTGCTGGCTTTGTGACACATATTGCAATTAAATGATGAATTAAGTTAACCCTTCGTCTGACACATGAGCCCAGCCAGGCCTTTTCCATTTTCAAATTACAAAAAAAGGTACTTTCAATATAGCTAGAGGCTTGAAATTTCAGGGAGCTTACTAAAGTTTAGTGAACTACCAATCTGTAAAAAATCATGTCGATACCATATATATAAAGCTAGATATGTAGACATGTTGATTAATACATCACATTCGTAACACATAGGTCTGGCTGGACCCACATATATTCCTATGTAAGTTTTACCTAAAATGAAGGAATGCAACCGTTTCTTAAATTTTCTTTTAAATTTTTGAATTCTCATGGCAAGAGATGATATTTACATAAAATGAAGGAATGCCACGGAATGCAATGGAATATTATCCCATTACAATTTTACTCGCCTCCAAAGCTCTTCCATGTTACTGAAGCTCGCTTGCGCTATGCTAATCCTCTCTTGACCACAGCGCTCAATTTTTCGTTGGCGTTGAGGTCTGGGATTTGTACTGCCCACTGCATTACGTGAAAATTTGCTCAAGCAGCCGGCGGTGTCGAATATTTTTAGAATCCTTTGGATCTCCGTCCTGCTGGCAAACAACTTCTTCCACAGGGTTTGCGCTTTTGTCTACAAAGTCCGGCAAATTTGTTTGGAGGATATGTTCATATACCTTTTATATTAACCCTTAGCACCAAATGCCAGCAAGTAAAACATCCCAAGCCATTAAGCTGCCACTGAAATTTTGTAAAAGTCACGAGACTTGGAGCTTTTGGACTGAAAAGGGGTAATATGGTCCGATGGAACGAAAATTAATTGTTTCCAAAGCGATAAAAAGGCATATTTGTGGGAAAGACCTCATCAATATCTTCAAAAACACCATGCCAAGAAAAACGTCTAACATGGTGGCCAGCACAAATCCTAGACGTCAAAGCTATCGAAAAATTGAGCGCTGTGGTCAAGAGAGGATTAGCATAGCACAAGCGAGCTCCACTAACATGGAAGAGCTTTGGAGGCGAGTAAAATTATATTTGGGTAATATTCCAAGCGAAATTATAGAAAACTCAGTAGAGAGCATTCCCAGACGTGTGAAAATCGCTATTAAAAGCAAAGGAGTCTCCACAATCCTTTTGATATATACCTCCTAAAATCTCAAAACAGAAAAGTTCAAAACTGAGTGAAGAGAGTTGCCTTGCGTTTTTGCTGTGAATCACTTGTTAATTTTTCTGTATACTATGCTTTATACCTAAGATAATAAGGACAAATTGCTGAAAATTTCAAAGCAATCCGCTTATTATTAAAAAAGTTATGTTACTGTAAGTAATAAAACGTCGAACATGCACTCAGTTTTGATCGCCAGTGTATTTAAATAATAAAATAAAAAAAGGAAAGCTCTTAAATTAAGTAAATATTTGAATAACATACAATAAATAAGTTTAACTGAACAAATGTTGCACATAATTTCTATATAAATGTATACAATTTGCATGCGTGTCCAGCCAGACTCATGCGTATCGAATGTGCCAATCGAAACATGTCTCTGGCGGAGAGTTAACTTATGCAATAATTTGATTCAAAAATTTTTATTGAGCTTGCGGCCGTTTTAATGAAAAACTATTGTAGAGAAGCAACAACAATTTGAAAAAAAGATAGAATAATTTGATTTTAACTTTTTCAAGAGAAGGCAACCCTCTTTAAACACCTCAATAAATCCTATATGTTCAAGCTAAAGATTTCTTAATACTCGTTTGTTTAACACCCGAATTTTAGTATTTCATATAACTTGAGTATAAGATAACTAAATTCGACTTTTAAAACAGATGGCAAACCTATTCAAAATATTCTCAGCTACTACCCCCCTTACACCTATTTCATCTGGCACACATAGGGTGATACATATTTCCATTACTTTAATTCAAATTGAATTTTTTTATGCAAGTGGAAAACCTCATATATTTTAGCTAAGAAATAAAGCCTTTTCAAAACCATTTCGATTTATACAGATGTAAGAATAGTTGATTTATTATTTTAAATAACTTGAATAAAATTTGTTTAAAAGATTGCAACACTTTTCGAAAGAGCAAAACTTTATCTCATATCTTCAGGCGAAACCCTTTAAATTTACATCTCATTTTTGAAAATCGAAGGAACGGTGCAGAACTGATGACTTACAGTGGAATTCTGACAATCGCTACGCTAAATTTTCGTCGCTAAAATTGTGTAAATGAAAAGCAGTAGGGCCTAAAAGTATACAACATGGAAGAGTAACACATGCGATGCGTTATCAGCCAAATCTGGCAGTGTGGCGGGAATGCAACTAGATGTTGCGTATTGTTAGGGGCGTCTGCTGTTCTTTTGGAGATTTTTAACGATCAAAACCAGCGATAGCGAATGTTGGAATACGCCTGCGAGACAAAAAATCCCTTCGCGTATTATATATATATATATCTCAATTAAGACCCAATAGGCTTTGGCCTAGGGTGGCCAGATATGTATTAGGAGCGGCCAATATGGCGGAAAAATCCATTGATGGTAGCAAGACTTAATATGGCAACACTTAACCCTTAAAAGCTTTGTGGTTGTAAAAAGACCCAGATCTAAGGAACTTTATAATACATTTAATTTTATTACTAACCTGAAGAAGTTAGGCACGTCAGATAATAACCCACTCTCGCCTACAATTCGGCTGGTAATAGGGTTCATTGCAGGATACTGCCTAATGGGCAAACACAGAAGCAGCGGCGAATAACTACAATCACAGCTGTCGTGATGATGAAATTTAGAGCAACGACCGCTTTATTTACCACTGCCCTGTGCTAGCTAAACTTAGGCGATGGTTTCCCCATTAGTAGCTTTTCCGACTGTCTGTTGGACCTTAGCTCGGCGAAAAAGTGCGCACAACAATGCTTCTAAAGCCAAACCTCTCTTTTTCGTTCTTTTTCTAGATAAACAGACGAAATTAACAATGAGTCAATTTCATACATGGTGTTCCAGCGAGACCCCTTAGTCCTAAGATTGACTCCGTTCGGGACGTAGATTGTGGTAATCATCTCAACCTTTAGGAAATAAAATATAAAATTAATTTTCTATTTAGAAATTTTTCTTCAAAAGCTACTTAACAGAAATCTTCAAACAAAACAAATCCAAATCGAAAGTTTTAAAGTCTTCAGTAATGAATGCTAATCGATCGGTATTATGGTAAAGAACGTCTACTACTTCGAGATATTCGATTGAAATGTTAACAAACACCGCTATACATATGTATGTATATATGTACATATGTATATATATATGTGTTATACAAAATATCCTGCAGGCTATGCAAATAAATTTCACAGTAACATATATCAGCAGTTTTGTTTTAATTTTATTTTTTAAATTATTTAAAATTTTTACGGCCTATTCAACCGTGCTGTCCTTTTTTCAAATGTCATATGAAAATAAATACCAAACACTTCTCCGTTGCGCATTTCGAGAGATGTACGTGTGAATGTTCAGAGCACAATTTTTATGGACGTACCATTTTCACTTGACATGTCCAGCAGGAGAGCTTTCAATCACGAAGCGAATAAATAAACCACACGCAGATGCACACATCGACATTCGCTTCGGTTGCACTTCCGCTAAGAAAAAAAATTTAATACTTAAACAAACAAACAAGAGGTGCTGGCACAACAATAATAAACGGCTGCAGTTCAGCGCAAAAGCAATATCTTGCCGTTTATTTACCGGCGGCTGGTTTGTTGGTTTTTTATTTGTCCTGCTGACACAGCATTTCATGAAATTCAATTAAAATTCAGCTGCCCAAATGCACCTGCATCACATTGTTGTTGTGGTGCGCTATTTGTTTGTGCACGCCTCTTGTTTTTTGTTGTTTGTTCTGTTGCTCCACGTTTGTCCATTTCAAAGCTTTTGTTTTGCAGCTATGTATTGTCATTTTTTCACAGTGCATCCTTGGTTTATGTTTTTACAAATTCTACCTTCGGTTATTGTGTTAGCCAACAACAGCCGAAACAACGGTGAGGCTGCTGTTTTTTGTCACTCGTAGCTGTTTGATTTTGTGTCGTCCTACAATGCGTTATGTCCACGTAGATTGTGGCATTTCCGTTCTATCAAATGCCATGATCAGAAGTGAGCGCATGTCTCTTGAGCTTTCAAGTGCTTACGGGATAAAAGTACTCAAGCGAGTTGTTATCGACAGTGTCACAATTGTGGGTATTACTTCAGTAGCATTTCGCTGAGCTTTCAAATGTTAAGAAGTAATCTGAGTTCGTTAAGAATCCAAAGAATTTAACCTCAAAAAATTGGTTTGCTTTCACTTTCTTATGTAGTTATACGATTTTAAAAAATCTTCAATGACAATAATCGCCGGCCACTTGTTACACAACTCATCGGCTCAATGACATTCGAAATCAACTTTTTAAGCAAACAGTAAATTTCTCGCACAACTTCTTTAAAAGAGGAACAACTCGATAAAATGTAGGTCGGTTTTTTTTTGCATAAATAAATTCGTAGGATTTATCTCTGTTTAATGCAAATATCACTGTCGTTATGATTATATTTTCTAAATAGAAAACTACTGTATTAATTGCTCTGCATATGTATGACCCACAACCATTTGTAGTGCCGTTTGATTTTTAGTTATGTCCCTTTCGTAGAGAGTGCGTGATATTCATACATATTTATTGAGTAATTTGGGGGGGTCGTAGGGAAGCAGTTATATCTGAGGCCGTCAAAGTTTTTAATGTGTTTTCCAAAAATTTCGGACAAATTAGTCTCACTTAACCCTTTCCGGTCAAATCCGTCCATGAATATAAAAATTTTTCCTCTTAATGACAAGGTTCATAGAGCCTCATAATACCAAAAGTAAAGAAAAAATATTCAAAAGTTGTTTTGGGTAGCTATTAGGGCTACCTCAAATTTGTGCAATATATTGTACAAAAGTCCGCAAAGGAGAAGAAGCACTCAAGAAAACTCAATAAATATTTCACTAAGTTTGACGGAATAAAACTTTCATTGAAAATGAACTTATGTATGTACAAAATAATTGCTTTTACTGCAGATATGTTGAAATGAATATTTTATATCTTTTTAAGTATATTTAGTTAAGATTTGCATGAAAAATTGTAAATTTTCTCCATGAGAAGAGAATTATATCAAGACATTTTGAAAAACTTCAGATACAATTACAATATAAAATACAAATTACCCGTTTTAATAAACCTCCCCGGCTTTTCTGCCTTCAGTAGATCAAGAAATCAAGAACCTACCCTTTGCTACAACAACAGCGCACAAGTTCTTCAAAAACCACGGCAAAAACCACCCTAATTGCCTGTTCAACTGCAGCCTTTGCGGACGTTTGTACAATATATTGTACAAGACACTTACAGCCTTTCAGTGCATTTTATTTTGACCACTCGGGAAAAATATTTTAAATCATGATAGTTTAATTTTAGCATTTTTATATGATGAAATGCTTTTTATATTTCCATACTATGTGCTTTTATTAGCGCTTTTACTTGACTTTCACGTATTTTTTGTACAGTAAAATACCACAACTTGCGTGTCACTGGAAGTTTATAAAATGATCTATTTTTAAATTAAATTCTAAAAATATTTTTGAAACGTTTTCGATTTTGAAATTTACGTTAACCATTCGGGACATTCAAAAACTTCATATAGTTTAAATTATTTTCAAAAATATTAATAAGATTTTTAGTAGCACGCTTCCACTGTTACAAAAAATTAAATGTATGTACAATATATTGTACAAATGCAGGGAAAGGGTTAATAGTAGCAAAAATAACAATTTGACGCTTACACATTTGATAAGTGTTTGGCCGACCTTCTCTTCCGATTTCTGGCAAGCGTCTTGATGTTATTAGACAAATGGTCCCGATTCAGTAATAAAAGGTTTGCTCAAAAAACAGTTTCTCGCTTCCTCTTGACAAAATCGGCTCCCTTAGCAAGGCACTGTGTGTGGGTTCGTGTGTGTGTGCAAAGCTTTTGTAAGGGAGCTAAGGGAGTGTCCAAACTCTAATGTCACTAATGAGCAAACCTTTAATTATTGAATCGTGGGTGGGACGTACAATTTTTAGCCACTTCTGAACGTCAAACGGATTTTTATGAGAAGATTTTTCATGTCAGAAATACACTAGGATGTTTGCTATTGCCTGCCAACGGGCGACTCGCTGTTTTAAATGTTGTTCACAACGTTGCCAGATTCATAGTTATAACTGCAAATTACAGTTTTTTACTCCAGCTTATAGTTCTTTAAATTTTCTCCTAGTACACCTTACAGTTTTTTCGAAAGTTTTGATTTGAACGAATAACTTAAAAATTATCTTTGGGTATTTTGTAAGTCAATGTTTAAGATAAAACTCGAACAATTAAGGAGCAGCGTTTCCTCATTTAAAAGAAATGGATATAGCTGTGCCTTGCAAATTACAGCACTCTCTGGTATTTTTAGAAGTAAACTTTTCTTAAAAAAATACTTTTGGAGGTACTAAATTTTAGGTATCGAACTACATAAATGCTCGAAAAGAATATCAAAGAAATTTACAAAAACGCTCCATTTTATAAATTATATTTTTGTTGAGTTAAGTATAATTTAAAAGCTTTATATTATTTTATTTTATATATATATATATATGTTTGATAAATTAAAAAAAAAACCTTAATTTTTCAAAATCTCTTTTCGTTTTTGAAGGTTACAGTGTTTTGGTCGTCAACACAGTTGATTCCGCGGAAATTTACAGTTAAAAAAGATCTGGCTACACTGGTTTTCCGGCGCATATCTAACCACTCAGCCGGTTGTGTTAGAAATTATACTTGAATTTCATTTCACTTTATTCAAAATTGTCCTTAAGTCGTCCGGAATCGGTTTTCAAAAAGCCATGAATTTGTTCCGAAATGATATTGAACAAGTCCCGAAATCGTCCCTTACTAGTCATAAAATAATCCCGAACCAGCACCAAAATGATCCCGAACCAGCACCAAAATGATCCCAAACTATTACCGAAACTTTCCTGAAATAATCCTGAACTAGTCACGAAATTGTCGTGAAATAATCCCGACAAGAACCCGAACTTGTCCCGAATAAATACTAAAATAGTTCTGAACTAATATCAAGTGGTCTAGGGCTAGACCCGAAATAGCTCCGAAATGGTCCTTAGCAGGTCCTGCAACGATCCCGAAATGATACCGATCTACCCCCGAAATGGCTCTGAAATAGTCCTGAACAGGGCCCGAAAAAGTCGAAAAGTTCTCTACTTGTTCCGAGATGATTTAAACGGTGCCGAAATGGTCCCTTATGAGCACCAAAATGATTCCCCAAAAGTCCCGAAATGGGACTGAAATAATTCCGACTAGTATCCAAATGGTCCTGAACTAGGAGAAAAATGATCCCGATCTAGTCCCTACATTTTTCCGAACTTTGCGCAAATGGTCCAGAATTTGTCCCGAAATGGCCCTGAACAGAGCCGAAAATAGACCTAAACTAGTCGTGAACTAGTTCCGAAATAGCCCTGAATAGTCCCGTAATTTTCTCTTGTGGACACAAGAAGCAATTACTGATTCTATGTTGCAGCTACAAATTAAGGAGAGTTAAGATCTTTGCAAATAAACAAGTTAAATAAAAGCTTGTAAAAAGGTTGTAACTATCCGCCTATTTCAAAATCTAACTTGTGGAGTATTTTCGCGTCAAACAAATTTTCCTCCTTTTTAAGTGCTAAAATTTTTGTTGTACATACGTTTTTTTTTTTAAATATGTACTACAATTTAAAATGGTTATAATTGGCAAATTTCCCAAATGTTATCTCCAACATTGTATCGATGCTTTTCACTCACCTGGTATATTCGCATATGCGGTTTTTGCCAGAAAAACCAGCAATAATATGATAAATTGGTTGACTTTAACCAACAGACTTGGATTTTTGTTGTTGCTGCTGCTGCTGCCACTACTACTCCTTTCACTGCTGCAATCCAATTGCTCTCTATTGCTCTGGTTGATTTCAAAATTCAAATTTTCAGTAATTGTTTGGAATTTCGTTGATTTGCGGTTGACAAGTGATTTCGAAATTGTTTGTAAATTACTGTTGGTTTTTGTTGTTCCTGTTGCTGTTGCTGTTCTTTTTGGTAAAGTTATTGTTGGATTGTTGATATACGTATCTTGTATTGTTGTACAACAATTTGTATTTATGTTTTTGTTGTAGTTGTTTGTGGCGAACGATGATCGCGACCGGCTTAATGCCTGACACCACCGGTAAGACCCAGGGTCCGCACACACGCCCATGCCTCTGGTCCCATAGTCAATGCCGCTAACGGATCGTCCTCATTGCAGCGGCGTCATCTGAAAGAAGGCAACGTAAAACGAGTAGGTGAGAAAAATATACATATGTATATTTTGTTTAAATTGAAGGGAATACGAGTAGCGATTTTAAGATATAAGGATTATTACAAGTGAATAACTTGATGAAAATTATGGGTCATAAATTGAATCTTTCGGGATATATAAAAGCCTTTGGTGTGTTGAAATTTTTAAGTAAAATTTTCACTGCAAATACTTTCTCATTTTCAATTTCAGCAGTTTTCCGTATGTAAGTACATAAGTAGTACATATGTATATAGTAGGAATGTTAATCCCGGGATCCCGGCCATTTTGAGGTCCCAAAAATCCCGGGATTATTGGCAAATAATATCAATATATCCGCGAAACCATGGGCCAAATACAGTAAAATTACATTTTTAGTTTTTCACTCTGACTTCAGTAATTAAAAATTATTTAAAAAATTCAGAGAAATGTGCTTAGAGAAGAGGTATGGTTATCAAATTAAACAGATTCAAGTTTTTGGTGCAGAAGGACTGGTAAATATTCAAAATGTCCTTTTAAAATTTTAGCCTTGAAATTTCGCAGTATTTGTTTTTGAAAAAATTATATTTTAAGGATACAAACTTGATAACAGCCGCGAATTTCGTCCTTCTAACTTTATCAGCTTAAAAAATTATATATTCGTCCTTGTGAAACCAAAAAATTTTATTTTTTTTTAATTCTAAAAAAATTCCTCTTGCATTTGGCACCCATATCTTTATTCTACATTGCATTGAATTTTTTAAATAATTTGGGATTGTGATAACGACATCCGGAAAATCCGGGGATCAGAAAAGCTGAAAGCAAGAATGATTAAATTTCTAAATGATAGAATGATAGAGTGATTTTCTGCTTCGAGCCTTGTATGTATGTACGCATTTTAAAAGATATATACAAATGTAAATATACTATATATGTTTACGAAAATTTTTGTGTGTTTTTTCCAATTTGTTTGCCATCACTTGCATACATACATATGTATGTATTTGTTCATTAGTTTCTACTATTTGACAAATCGTTTTCGTTGTTGACCACAAAACAAAATTCTGAAAATTTCAAATTTTCCACTTAGACAAAAAATCCTTTGCCATACTCCTGTCATGTCGCCGAAATACGCCCAATCATAAATATTCAAAACCAATGGCAAAGCTATTTAAGAATTTCCATTCCTATGCTTTCTTTTTTGTATTCCATTGCTCCGAACATGCTCTACTTTCATTTCATTCACCAAAAGAAGCAATGGCTGCTAATCAATAGCCAAATGCAATACAATCACAAGAAAGGACATTTTGTAGACCCGATATCTGTGTTCGACAAGAAAATTGAATTTGTGGTTTGGTTTCCGTTGCGGGCGAATTGCAAAAATATCAAAATTGAGCTTGTGTATTTTTGTTTTCGAAAATTGGAAATTTGTGTTTGTTTTGCAAATAGTAGTGTGACATAATTCGCAATGTAAATTCAGTAAATACGTATAAATATGAATGAGTAAAAGCAATTAAATTGCATTGGTTTGGTGGGGAAAACGACTTTTGTACTTTTCTAAAAACAAAAAGCAGGAGAATTAATCTTTCACAAAAAAAAAGAAAAAAGCGGTTTAGTTTGAATTCGGAGAATGAATGCAGCAGGACATTCAAACGTTGACAGTAAACAAACGAATTTGGTTTGTATTATTTACATAAATATCTTTGCTACTGACTTGGCTGTATAATGGTACAAATATGTAGAACAAGAAAATAAATAAAAAATAGTAAATTAATAGAAAGCAAGAGGTGAACGTATTAATATTTATTCCAATAGTGTTATTAAGCTTTGTACCAGGGTTATGTTTTTTTTAGGGAAAATGGAGAAAGCAACAATGTCTAAGAGGTAGAAGCTAAAGCTTCTATTTCGGAGATCACCACATCTCCTCATACAATTTTTTTTCAATTCCTGCTAAAGTCTAGGGAAAGTCGAGCATTGAGGTCTGCTATACGCTGTGTTTTAGGCGACATTAGAAGTCATCTTGTGACTTTCCCAAGAGAAGTATTTTCTCAAGTTTTTAGCTTCGTCCACTGTGTCCTGTTGTTCCATACTAAGGACCGTCTGCAACCCAATCAATTAATTCTTCGTCCACCGTTTTAGTATCTGTGCAGCGAGGATCGAGAAATGATGCCGAGGGCTCTTTGCAAATTCAACACTATTTACATAGTTCTCCCACGGAAGCGGTGCCATTAGCCACATCCTTGCGAGGGTTGGGCACTTGCACAGAAAGTATTCGACTGTCGCCTTTGAGCCCTCGTAGGCCAATCCTTTCGGCATCTACCCCAACGTACCAGAGCCCTGTGCATATTGCCGTCAGTTTTTAGATATTTTCTTTGCTCATTCTCAAAAGAGACCTACTTTTAAGTGGTAATATGATACCCAAAATTACCTCCTCTATCTAGCTTTTGGGTGATAAATTTCGGCAATACCGTCCTAAATGTCCCTAAGCGAGGAACCCATGTCCACCGCGTGGGACACATTCAATGCAGAGCCGCACTTCGCTAGTTCATCCGCTGTTTTGTTTCCGTAAATCTTTTTATATTCCGGGACCCATATTAGGTTAATCTCGTGCTGATCGAAAATCTAGGCCAGACGTAGAAGAGTGTACCTGAAATGCCACATAAGAAGATATTCATTCTCGAATGTGCCTTACTACATCCTTAATTGCAAACGTTTCAGCCTGGAAAATGCTTGCATGGTCTCGTAGGCGGATGGATACCTTTAGGTTGTATTGCTCAATGAAAACCTCTGCATCAACCCGCATTCCACCTTGATGTGCGGAGTTTGTGACGAAACCTGGTGGTGGATAGGATATATTCTGTAGGCAGTGCTTCACTTTCCCCATATATTGCCTAACATTATCTTGGCTGCATGGCGAGCCACCAAGGCCTACCTTACACGCTCTTCAATGCTTAGCTTCCAATAAAGTTTGAATAACTCCAAACTATTTCACCTTGTTTGTTCCTCGAAATGAGGCCCTTTTTATTTGTGAAAATCATAAAAATGTCAGTTTACGCTAAGAGAGCAATTTATGTTCGAGGAACCTACCATCTTTTGAGCCCTTTCCATAATGTGCTACATCGTCGGGACTAGGAAAATCTGAAATCTCTTCAATGCTGGAGACTTTTTGCATCAGTGTGCAAGGCCAGGCTAGAAATTGAGATTAACCACAATATAAGTCCCTAACGAAGAGCTTGCATTGAAATGGGTTAAGCCAATTTCGTTAATATTGAATTCATTCCTCAGAAAATTTCACCTTTGGCGTAATATTTCTTAGTCATCAGTGCACTTACTTCCTAATTTTATGTTAATAATATCTGTTACTTGTTGTATTGTGTTCATATGTATGTACATATTTATTTGTTCTTCCTTTGTAAGTTCTTTTGTTTTACTTTCCGCATTACAAGTTGTAAAATTAGCTGTTTAATTCTGTCTCATACTTCGATCTCCTTTAACTGCTTATTGACACCTTCATAGTGATTTTGAGCATTGATAAAAAGTTTTGCATTTCCACACTACAATAAATACAATACAAAAGCAAACACATCCGTTTCGGTTTCAACGAAGAAAGTTTTCTTTTGTTAACGCCTAAATGTACTATACTGGTAATACTTGAACACGCTTCAATGCTCGTACACAACAATCGGGCGTAGGTGTAAGATCTCGTGTCGGTACCTTTATTGATATACAGATGTACATATGTACTTAGATGCAAATACATGTGCCAGCCTTTTATTTAACCCAATGCATATTACATATTTATAAGCGTTGGGTGTTAGTAGTTCTTTCAAATTCATGAAATTCTCTACTTTTACCCACCTTTTGTACCATTAAAACTTGTATTGCTGTTTGCCGACGCCTATTTGTATGTAATACTTTTCTGAATTTTGGCGAGAGGCAAAGCGGCTTACGTCAATGAAGTTCAATAGGAAGTTGCTCACGCTTTCCTGTGTATGCAAACATGCAAATGTGTGTATATTAGGGTAGGTTCACAAAAAATCTGTATATTAATACGCTAATATAAATTTTGTCTACGTTTAGCGATTCTACGAGCCGATTGAAAGCTGCGGCCAAAACCGTCGTTTAATATTTTCCGTAATTGTGTATGGTTATTGTTGCAACCTGTTCAGTTTGAGCTGTTTTCGCATTTTGTTGTTTTAGTTTTTATTTGAAATCCCACTTTGTAATAAATATACATGTGAAGATGAAGAAATAAATGATAGCGATGAAGACAAAACAGAGAAGTGAATATTAAGACGAAAATGGAGACAATGAGAGATAAATAATAATTAGGGGAACACTGTAAGAGTAAGAAAAATAATTGAAATTTTTCTATAGGAAACGAAATAAATTCAGTTACAAATGTTATCGAAATTTATCGAATCGTCGAAGTGTACATTTATCGAAATTTATCGAGTTATCGATGCTTATTGAATTATCGATAGGTACCATATAATTCAAATTCATCAATGTTTATTGAGTTGTCGAAATTTATAGAGACTGAATTTTAATTTTCGAAATTTACTATAAAAATGTATGGGATTATCGAAGTTTGTCAAGTTAAAGAAGTTGATCAAGTTATCGATAGTTATTGAATTATCATTATTTATAAAGTTAACGAAATTTATCGAGTTGTCGTAATGCATCGAGTTCTTTCAATTAACAAAGTTATCGATAATTATTGATTTATTTGATCGAAGTTTATGGAATTTTCAAAATATATCCCGTTATCGAAATTTCAAAGATACATAAGTTTATCGAATTATTAGTGCTTATCGAATTTTATTTATTTTTTTAACATAGTGTAATGTAGTAATAATGTAGTTTAATGTAGTCAGAATTTGTCGATAGATTTCGAAAACTATGGAGCTGTCGAAATTAACCGAGTTATCGAAAATTTTAAAGGAATCCATAGTTTATCGAGTTATCTATTTATATCGGGATATGTACATTTTTGAGTTATCG